TAAATGGGACTGGGTCTCACCTGCACCGGGGCAAGTCTGTGGTGCCAGTGCCTTCCCAGTCAGCTCAGTGGCTTTTAGCCCAGCTCTTCAGCTCTTGCTTGGGCTTGGGCTTGCACTGTGCTTAGCTCTGTGCTGGGGCTGCCCGCCCCACAGCACTTACTGCCTGGTGTGTCTTGAGTCAGTGGGGGTGGACATTGCCCCCCACTGGGGTTTAACCCTTCCCATTGGGAAACACCCTGGAAGGTGGCTTAGCTCTGCACGAGGGTGCAGGCTGTGGCATGGGTGTCTCCTCTCAGCAACTCTTGAAGCCATTGGATGGTTTAGAGGCTCCAGAGATGACTGAGATCATGAGAGTTTTGTGGGACCTTAAGGGAGATGCCCTGGGGTGCTGCCTCTGTGTACCACCACTGAGGGAATCAATGCTTTGTGAGGCTCCCTGCTTTATAAGATATAAAATCTACACCAGGGAGGACTCTCTTCAGCACTCATGAAACTCTTGGGGGGGATAAAGCCGAAACATGCCCTGTGATAACTTTCTGTTGCTGCTCTGTTTTCCAATATTGGTATTTTTCTCAGAGCCCCACCTCCTGTACTGACACAGATTAATAAGCGTCTAGTTTTTTATGTTTCTGAAGAAGTTTGTAGGCCCCGCGTTGCAGAGAAGCCACAAAATGTGAGCGTCCTGTGTCTCTTTCCAGGCTCCACCCTGCAGTCTGTGATCTGCTCCAACGATGCCCTCTTCTACTTCGTGTTCTTCTACCCCTTCCCCATCTTTGGCATCTTGATCATCACCATCCTCCTGGTGCGGTTCAAGAGCCGAAACTCCAGCAAGAACTCGGAGGGCAAGAACGGGGTCCCCTTGCTGTGGATCAAAGAGCCTCACCTCAACTACTCTCCTACTTGCCTGGAGCCGCCGGTCCTCAGCATCCACCCAGGAACCATAGACTAAAAGAGGCAGAGGTGCCTGGGGGGACACATAGAGAGAGAGAGAAGCAGAGACACACCAGGAACCCTAAGGAACAAAGTGGGTTTTGTTGTTTGTTTCATTTGTTTCAGTGTCTGTGCTCTGATGCGGTGGCTGAGCTCTGCAGAGCACCCAGCCAGCAGGAACAGGAAGGTCCGAGGCTTCCTCCACTGCCTGTGGGAACGCACCCCCTCACCCCGACGGACGGAGGGTCCCTGCACTTGCTGTACATAGCGGATGTTCCTCTCGGATTAATTTTGCTCCCATCAGTTGCTGTCTCTTGGGCCGTTAATTTTTTGTTGTTTCTTTTTCGATCACTCAAAGAACCATAGGCTTCCCCCACCCTCCACATAGTGAGGAGTTCCCAAGGGGTGTTTGGTCCTGGGACAATCTCTTTGGAAGTAAATGTATATGTTTTCCAAAACAGACTGGTTTTCCTCCTCAGACTTGGTGCCATGGTGAAGAAGGTCTTTTCCCAAGGTGCATTGAGCTAGCTCCTCCCTCTTCCAAAACAGACAAAGCCAGGTCCACCTCCGGAGGTGTTAGCTGGGCTATCCGGAGGTCTGTCTCAAAGACTGTCTGTAGCCTCAGCATCTTCTTGCCTCCATCTTACTGTTCTCTCAGGAGGGAGCAATTCACCTTTTGGGAGCATTCCCAGGTCTTACGGAGACTGAATATTCAGCACGCTTGCAGCCAGGACAAAAGCAATTTGGTTCGTCCCCAGAAACTGAAGGAGGGGCTAGAAGGAGGGCACCTGAAAGGCCTGACTTGGTTGGTAGCAAAGAGGGTCCTCGTGTGGTCCAGCTTACCAGCGTCATGCGCCTCCCTGGTGTCCGTGCTGCCACCTCTGTGCCAGTCACCTGGGGACGGGTAGCTGGATCCAGTCTCTGAAGACTTCAACATGACCAAAGTAATGACTCTAGGAAGGGGGAAGGGGGAAGCTCCATGGGTTGGGTTCAGGGCCCCTGGATGGTTCAGCCAAGGAGCCCAGCTGCAGCCATGCCACGCCACGCAGCGAGGATATGCAATTAACCACTGCGTGTCACGAGTTTCCCTGTGGCTTGCACTGCTTCCCAGCGTCAGCTTGGACAAGGCAAGGAGCCTGCACCACATCAGCACCCTGGGGACCTCCCTGTCCCCTTGGGCCAAGAGAAATCTTCCCTGTTTTTTGTTTCTGGGGCTTTAGGAGGAGAAACCATTTCTCTATAAGCTCCCCCTCCTGGCAAAGACACCTGCTCTTCTTGTAGGCAGTCGCTGTGGCAGGAAATGCTGTTCTTTCTGTGAAAGATAAGGCTCTCGTGAACCAAACCAGGGCTCTCGCCACATAGGGCACCTGAGCTCCCATACCCCGTAATGCCAAGTACCCATGCCCTGTCCTGTGGAGGAAACCGCCTCCTCCCCATACACCCTAAGCGTTGTGTCTGGCGGAAGAAAATGTTTGCCAAAAATGGCCTTTTGTTGTCTTCCTTGATGTCTTCCTGGCAAATCTGGCCATTTATTTTTGCAACATGGTTGAAGCCAACCGGGGCAGACGGGCACAGCCACAAGACCCCCCCACACCCCACCTTGCCCGTGAGAGGTGCCATACCCACAGCTTTTGTCCTCTTCAGGAGGGTCGGACTGCTCTGTGTGAAGAGAAGGGGACCTCAGCAGATGCTCTGTAGGACTAGTTGGTTAGACCCTGATGCCTTGATGGTTCAGAGGTGGTGAAGCCTCGAGTGGGAGATCTGCGCCATGCATCCTCCCTGCCAGCTGGGAGAGGACCCACATGGCCGTGGACTGTCCCATGCTAGGGCATTCGAAGTCAGCCACCTCTGCTCCTCCACCAGAGTGGCACTGGTTTCTTCTTCCACTGGGAAAACCAAATTTCACTCGTCCCTCTGCAAAGTCTGCCTCCTCGAGACGTAACTGCTTAGTGGTCCCAACATATGCATTATTATCACACTCATATATATATATATATATATGTATGTATCACACACCCGCACACTTGTCTTCCCTTTCTGGATAAGGCATCTGCAAAGAGAGAAGTGGGATGAGAAGTGAATGGAAATGAAGAACCGAGGCGCAAAGAGCAGCAGCTGCAGCCAGTGGGTATTGTTTCATAAATGTAGTATCATCTTCTGTACATGCTGCTCCCGGGCAGGAACTGCAACTCATTTCAGCTTTAAAGGAAGAAGAGAAAATGAAGTTAGCAGGAGCCATTCTTTCCTGGGAGAGCACCGC